TAGATGCCAATGATGATTAGAGTGATATGAAATTAAGTGATTTGGGATGTATTGTAAGGATAGCACAATATATTTTTTCACTATTCATTAAACCGGGTAATTATATAATAATTGAATTATAGAAGATCTAGAATACTATATAAGGTATAATAAACATGCAAATTTCTCTGAATTAATATCTGGATACCTCTAGATTTTTAAAATAAAATATATTTGTTGATTAACTTTCAATTAGAAAATGCAAAGATAATGCTTGCCTTTCGTGGATATATAAAGGCGATTTGAAATGTTTATCTATATTTGTGTAAAATGATTAACTACAATACACAAATATGGACTCAAAAGAGTACATAATTTTTTTATGATATAGCCTTGGTTTTATGATTGATACAATGACCTTGTCAGCAAATACAATTTATCGTTGAGTCAAATGCTGAATCACGTTTTCATACTAATTGTTAGTCCATTATTTATACAATAAATTGACGACGGATTTTCGCGTTATTTCCTGATCATGACAGGGAGCACACGTCGGTTGTGACCGGCCAATAGGAGATGTCTACTCCTCTATGGTACCTGATCCTACCTCTGATGTTTCGGAGGTCCGTGTTTGCTCTGCTCCTCTTTTGTATTGTTTTATGGACTTTGAGATTGAATACTGTTCGTTACCACCAAATATCCTTCTTATTCTAAATATGCAATGAATATAGGGGTTGATAATGAACAGTTCTACTAGTATCTAATGTGAGCTTGAATAAAATAAAAACATAAAACTGTAGCAAATCACAAATAAAAATAATTTGGCATAATCACACCTCAAAAAAAAAGGTTAGTAAAGTTCCCTCTAACAGAAGTCTCAACATAAAATTGTCTTGCTATTTTTCATCGTGTTACTTACATTAAAATTTTATTTTTTCTCATACTAGTATTTAAATATTTTTCTTCTAAAATAATTTGAATTAATTTTAAAAAAAAAAAGGTAAAACATGTAAAATAAAGGGTTTTTTTCATTACATTTGATATCACTATGTGCATATGTAAATGCTTTGAGAGGTTACATTTTTTTTAAGTGATTCATTTATACGGACAATTGGTTTATCCGGACGATTTCGTTTGGGACGGAGGTGCCTGGATTGATTGAAGGCGCCATTGTAAATATTTGAAGTATATGCTTCTCCACACGGCGGAGCCCCAGGAGCTCTAGAATGTAAGATAAATTAGAAGTTACATGCAACCCTAAAAGTAGTCTCCATGGCATATACTTTTAGGAAAATTACACAGAAAAAAATACATAAATAAATTCAAGTGTACTGTGTTAATGATGATGATGATGATATTTATATATCCATATGTTTCATTTTTTTTTTTGCACTGGTTTAGATTACTGTAATTCATATTTTCTAAATTCCTACTACAGCTTATCAAAGCATTACATACCAAAAAATAATAGTTAAATAAAACTCAAGACATTTCACTTTTTTAAATTGACTTCACAAGCTTCGGAATCTTCATTGCATATAAACTCTTGCCGAACAACGATTTGTATTTTCACAGTTATAGATAAAACCATTCTTTTACATTCTCTATAATTGGCAAAGAATAAAAAAAAATATGCGAAAAGATTAGATTAGAAAAACCCAGACCAAAACAAAAATCCTATTAAATATAGCATTCGTTTTATACATTTTTTAGAGCATCATGCAGTTTCCAATTTTGAAAAAAAATTCTCAAGAAATATTGCCTATTTGAATAATTCATATAAGACCTATCCAGAGTAGACTTTTCCAAATCTTATACTCTATTAATTTATTTTCTAAGGTATTTTGTTATGCACGTTATAATATCATGATAGTTTTACCTTTATCTTTTCCTTCTCTTTATAATTCATGCGCTTCCGTTTATATACATTAATGTGTAACCTTACTTATAGAATTCTTAGTGTGTTCAAACCTCTGCATTCGCCGTGGAAAAAATGGATTTCCTACATGTTTAAAATATGTCTTTTTCCACAGAACAGTCTTAATTAGATGTAAATCTTTAGCTCGTTGGTCTGACTAAAGAACTCTGTCACCAATCAAAAAGGCGTATAAATTAGAGAACACAATCATATTTATGTTTATACAATACAATACAACCCCAAATAGTTGATATTAGCACTGCTTGACCTGAAAATGAAATAATAAAAAAAAATTCTGGAATTTTGGGTAGCAGATTCGTCCACTGAACTTTGTGCTCATGCCTAATAAATATACGAAGGTAGCAGATGGACGTCAAAGAATTCTTTAATATCAATTTTTTTGTGCTGTTTTGGTACAAATTTGGAGAAATATCCAGTATTCAGAGCCTAGAGTCATTTTGTGGATGCTCAGTGATTTTGTATGGAAGACACTAGCCCTGTCTACCTTTCCAGATAATATTATGGTACCTCTCCAGCTGTTGCATTCTGTAAGGTATACATTTCAAGATAGATACATTTTTTCCGGTAGAGGGGGTCGCATTCACATTGCCTAATGTCAGACTAGATGTTTATTTGACGGGACTGAACAGCTAAACAACTTGCCCAAATCTGGAATAAAAAAAATTTAAGTGGGGTGTGTGTGTTTGATTAGGTGTTCATTGGAGTATGGGTCCAAAGTTGTCTTTCAACTAATTTCCTTAAAAATTATATAACTTTTCATCTTCATGAGGGTCCAGACTCCAACCCCTCTTGATTATTTTTTACCATTGACTGTTTCTATATGATACCTTTTCCCTACTATTCAGACACTTCCTCCTATGCCTAGATCTTGTTAAAGCGAACTTTGGAAAACTAACACTTATGTAATGTACTTACTTTCTCTGGGTAAGTCACAGAATAAAGATAAAAATTAAAAACTATCTCAAAAATATTGAATTTATTAGTCTATGAAATAACATGGATATACAAAAGAGGGCAAATATAGCCTATTGAAATTCAATAACAATTTTGTTTTAAATGAATAGGTATCTTTGGAGTATGAATTCAAAATTTACAAAAATATATACATTTTTCAGTATTAGGGGACCCATACTCCTAACAATACACATTTATGAACCAACTTTCCTAACTTTTCGAGGAATATTTGAAGTTCAATTATTCGGGAGTCATAGCACATAACACTACTTGTTAAATATTGTTTGGTGCGGTGGTTATATGTGGTGTCAGCCTTAAAAAGTTGACACTCAGAATTTCATAGCTTTTATTGAATTCATAAGGAATCTGCAATACTTTTGTTTTATAATAGATGATTTATGAAAAGTAAGTTTCCTTTGCTACAAGTTTACATTTTTTTTATTATAAAAAAAATTGCTCCAAATTCTTAGCTAAGTAATTAAATTCTATTTTTCAGGCATTTAAAGCTGTAGGCAATTTGCATGCCAATCTTCTTTAGTATCACTGCTCTATACATGTTTCTATTACTCCATATATTGGATCACTTTTACATCACCCGAATTATAACACCCTACCCACAACCTTCCCTCACTGTCCACACTAATTCCAAAAGGACGCTCTAGTCCACACATATCGACACATCTTAAAAATTGTCCATTCTGATCTAGGATATGAAGACATTCATTATCATAATCAGCTATAATGATCTGACTCAGTGAGTCTGTCACAAGGTCTGTAGGATTAAATGAATAATTCCTTCTGGCTGGAATACCATTGTAGCGGAATCGGACTCTTCCTGTTTTGTCCATCACTATCACTGTTTCGGCATTTGTATCAGTTGCACAAAGGTCCCCATTGTTATTCTCCTCAATAGAAACTCCATATTTTCCATCTTTAAATATATTTTGTCCATGTTCATCCTTATCAATTTCTTGTGTTGCTGTCTGTCCCTGATAGCGGACTATTTTGTGATGACTGTAATCAGGAGTTTCCATACTAACTAGTAAGTCCCCTGATCGCGTACAGCACAGTACATCTGTATGCCATCCCCGAGGTAAAGTGATCAGTTTTTGTACCCTCCCCTTTCTGAAAATGTTCACTGTTCTGCTGCCCTCATCACTGTATATTAGTTCTCCCTGCCTTGTAACTGAAATGTCAGATGGACCTGATTCACATTTGGTGGTGATCTTCTCCTTTAAAGATCCATGTATGTTAATACGTCTTATGACTTTGTCCTCACCATGAGCCCAAGCATCATTGGTGCAAGTGCAGCTAATCCCAATTAGAGGCTTCATTCCTGTAGAAATGGTTGTAATAACTTTAGCTTTGTCTAGTAATTTTCTCACAGATAAAACGGAGACTTCATTCACCAAACTAGATATAGCTTCCTGTCTCAGTGTAGCCTTGTATTCTTTTAACTTAATGCTGAGTTCTTTCCCCGCCACTGTGTTGAATTTCAAGGAAGGAATCTTCACATCAACGTCTGTAGAAATGTGCTTGAAATCCTTTAGTTCTGATTTGTAGCTTGCAACATCAGACACTTTATTGGACTTGATGATTCTTTTGTTTTCTTTTGTTATACGTTTTATTTTTTTTCCGGAGTCCTGAAGCATAGACTGTTGTGCTTTGAGAGGTGTGAGTTTTCTATCCATCAATGTCCTAATGGTTGACTGTAGTGTGTCAAAAATGTTGTCCACTTCTTCGTGCCAGATTTTTCTCAGATTTTCTCCCTCCTTCTCCATTGTTTTGAATTTTTCAATCATTTTATATATCTTCTGATCAATGTTTGCACCACTTATTGTGAATCTTGAAATAAAAGACTCAATTTCCTCTGTTTCTTTCTTGATTTCTTCTTTCATCTGTTGTACCACCTCTGACATATCTATGACAGTATGGCCGCTGTGGGGACCTGTGAGACATCTGAAGCAGACGGGAACATCACATTGTTGGCAATGTCCCTCACATTTCTGGTTTGGATGAGAAGCACATGAGGAGAATATAAGCTGTTCTCTTCTGTCTTTAAAAGGAACAATGTCATGTGTCTCAGACTTCAGACTTTCTACATGTTCATTTATACAAACCCCACACAAACTGACTTGACAGTTGTTACAGAATTGCTGGGTAGGGTTGTCACAAAGATCACACGTGATCATGTCCTGTGCCAAAGTAGACGAAGTTTCCATCTTCCTCCTGTAAAAGAAAAAGTTTACCTGTTAGTTTCATAATCTTTTTATAAATTTATGTTAATTTTTAAGTCCATTTCTCTTTCTTAGAATTTATTGAGCCACCCCTCAATCTACAGAATGTACACTCATTTTTTAGCAAGTTTTCGCAAATGTCGATTTTTTTAAAAAAAATTTACTTTCCATAATATTTATAATATATATTTATAATTTTAACATTGACCCAGATTGGAAAACGTGCAGGTGCGGTAATAGAAAATAAGTGTGTGAAGGAAAAAATCTTAATAAATATGTTTAGATTTTTAAATAAACAATAATAGACTCATACATGAAATCATAAAATCTAATCTACCTAATACCTGTGTTATTGAGTTAGTTTCCAATTCAAAGTTAAAAAGAAAAATGTCTTATTAAGGGATCAAAGTCCTGAAAAAATGATGGAATGATGTAAAGATATAGTACCAAACAAATAAGAAACAAGATATTTCTTGAAAAATGTTTTTCGAAGATAGTTAATTTAAATATTTTAAAAGCAGTTCATGAGAAGTTTACCAAATTTTCCATACTGTTAAATTTGATAAAGTTTGCGAAAACATTGTTAACATCAACAGGTAAATTTCCATATACTTTATGTAAAATTTTCTAGCATACATATTTCTACAATAACTTGATCCCCTCAGCAAAATGAGAGATTGATTTGATCCTGAAAAATTGAATGGAAAGAAGAAAATATGGATTTGTTGTATTATACGTCTCTTTAACGGTACTATTTATATAATTTTGAAAAACTGCTAACTTATTTGTAAATCATTTAAATACAAATTAGTCAACAACCCAAAATATTTGGAACTTTGACAATGATGGGTGAACAACGTAACAACAAGTCGATAAATGGTAAAACGACTGTAATGTCAAAAGATGTAACTAACCTTAATCAGCAATATTTTCTTGATTTTTTTTTCTTCTTTTGTCCTCTAACCTGTCCATTTGAAATACCCTCCGGAAGTTTAACTTTCGGTTTAGCATTTGGCATATTATTAGGGTGGATTTAAATTTTTAGGAGGGGATATTCATTCAGAGTTGAACATTTAAAGCTCCGGTTTTAAAAGTTTAGTCTACAATAGCTAAGATCGATTGACCGCAGTGGCGGGCCCAGATATCTTGAAAGGGTTGGGGCGACCAGTTTGAGGTCAGGGTAAGGGTTCCTCAGCCACACAAATATTTATCAAATTGTATGTACTTTTGGGACACAAAAGGGAGAGCAAGCCCACTGCCCCCTCTAAATCTGCCAGTGCATTTTACAGATGACTGTTGAAAAAACGTTTTTCAAATATTTTACTATGCTTACCGACGAATAATCGAATCAAGATAAATGTTTTTTTTCTAAATATACATGAACTTTACTAACAAGTCCATCAATAATAACTCTCAAAGCTATATGGCGTATCTGAGCCTTAAACAATAAAACTATGAACTGAGTATAATTATATACACATGATTTACTTAATATGTTATTTGCAATCAAATATTTATTTTCAGTAATTTTTACTTAAATAACCTCACATTTTTCAAATTAAATAACCTTTAAAATTGTCTATTATTTTATTTTCTGAAACAATCAAAATGACATGATAAAATTGGCTTTACCATTACTATTACTATTTATACTAAAAGGATTAAGACATGCATATTAAACTTTTTGAGTTAAATTAAAACAATTATTTCAAATATGTTTTTCAGCATTTTTATCATACATTTTAATTCATCTTTAATCAACAAGTTACCAAAATTTTGTGCGATTTTGAGTGATAGTTCCTGAGATATTGATATAGATATAGTGACACACCCCCCCCCCAAAAAAAAAAAAAAAAAAACTAAAAATTCTCATAATATCCCTTTCGCATCAGTAACAAACTTGATTTTCTTGTGCATTGAGGTCGCCAAAGTATTTATTTTTTTCATAGCATTATTAGTCAACCCTTCCGACGGTAGTCTTAATGGCTGAGATTAGCTGTATTATTCTAAAGTCAACAAATCCCCCCGCTCAATCGAATCCCGCCAATTTTCGATTTAGAATAGAATACTAGTACACAGAACCCTGCAGGTTTGGTACTTGTGAATGTTTGTAAAAAAAAGTATCAAAAAATATAAGCTACATTTTTCCAGTGTAAACATGCTAAAACATTGCGCAAACGACGCGTACGTGCGCGTTTGAGAATTAAATCGACGAAAGCTGGCCAAGATCGCGGTCAAGATCTGTCAGTTTAGGGTGAAAAAAGTGAGTATTTTTGTCTGCTGTTTAAATATCAGTTTCAGTGATAATGCCTTGACAATAACCGAGGTGGCGTGATGAAAAGCCCTATCTTGTTGTGACGTTGGTACGCGCCAATGACACCGTTAAGGTTGGTTGGAAACATTTTAAGTTCACTTTCTGACAACCAAAAACACTTTCATTTTGTTGAAAAATTGAAAACAATCTGTACATCAGCATGTTTTTGCCTTTTTATTTACTTATGCAATATTACTAAACCCACAGTAGATTGCGTCAGCCATACCACGATTGGAAGACATTTATACTGACTGCAAATATGCAAAAACGATGTCTATAATTCTAATGCATAGTATGGTACTACAAAATTTTATTACAAAATTATCAACAGTAACATGCACGTGTTTGTGACTTTTTATCATTTCACCTACGTGATGCCATACATTTCATGGTTAAGTAGTTTTGACTAGTAATTTTAGTGCAAAGTAACCAAATTAAACATCTGACCAATTTTCATAATTTTCGGTCACATACTGTAAACCAACTTTTATTCGCGTGCCTCGTCATCGCGAATATTTCACGCCGCGAACGAGTCCTTAAAGTCTCTTTTTCTATTAAAAACAGTTCCTAAAACGGCTTGCTCGCCAAAATTTATCGTTGCAAACTAGTTTACTCACAGTAAATCGCGAAACAAAGTCGTCGCGAATAAAAGTTGGCTTACAGTAATCAGAAAATTTTCCGATATCATGTTCTTGTGCGTTTTTTTTTTTCCTTTCAGTATAGCTAGATGAAGCTTGAAAACTTGTCATGCAATGATTTTAATTCATTTTATACAGCTTAAAATATGTCAATGTTTTTAAGTCATAGAAAGGGTATAAACGGTTTCTATTTGTACTCTATATGTTATTAAAAAAATATATTCTTCTAAGAAATAAGAATTAAAGAAAACAAATACACAGAAATTGGATTTTTAAAAAGGTAGCATTAAATAACAATGCTGATCAGCGTAATATGCAATTAAATAATATACAATTATGGACTCTTTTGGTGTCGAATATGGTTTGTTATTCACCAGAAAAATATTCATATTTACCGAGGCGAAGCCGAGGTCAATATGGATATTTTTCTGGTGAATAACAAACCATATTCAACACCAAAAGAGTCCATAATTGTTTATTATATAGTCCGAATTCGAATTGATAAGACATTGAATCCTGAATGACGACGCCACTTTAATTTACGAACATCCATTGTTGAAAATTAAAAAAGTCTCCATATTACGGTTTCTAACCTCCGTGTTTTCCTTTCTGAGTTTCGCTATGCGTAACTCAGTCTAAATTTCAAAAAATAATCCTGAAAAAGGTTTGAATAATTGTTTTCCTCCTCGGATACGTAGCTCGCTGCGGCCGTTGCAACCATTAATTATTTACAACGTTGTTTGATTTTTTGATTGTGACGTCACAATGCCGTTGCACGTGCATTGCCCCTCTGGTGAATACGGCCTAAAATCCGGTGAATATGTAGTGTTATGAACTGTTTGCGTTTGTATAGATTATATAGGCAATATAAAAAGACTATATAATAATTTGTGATATCTTTTAATGATAGTGCAATATTTTTTCAGTATATATAATTGAACTAGGAGACTTATTGTTCACAGAACAATAAGAGGTCTTTCCACCTTTTAAAATTTCTTATAATTTTATATTTTACTCTCTAAATTTAAATTTAAGGGAAATGGCTTGAAAAACAGTGAAAATTTAAAAAAAAATAATTTTTTTTTAGAAATGACCTTGACCTTTGACCTTGAAAAATTTTTCAAGGTCAAAGGTCAAGGGTCACACTGCAATTAACCCCATGCTTCTACCATTTACAGTTTTCAAGATATAAGGTTTAGAAGTTAAAGGGCAATAACTCATATAAGGGGACATCAGATTCTTTTGCACTTATACAGTGAAGTTAGGCCTAAAGTCCCCTAAGACATAAGT